AAAAGGGGGATTCGGATGGCCTGCGTCAGCCACCGCCACCCCCCGCCTGGGCTTCAAAACCAGACTGGCGGTCTTGATGTCCCTCGCTCCTACTGGACCTGCAGCACCCCCGTCCCCTACCTGCTAGCTTCTGGGCCGCAAAGCAGGCAAATGAGCGCATCATCTTTTCTCCTACGTAGACAAGAATGGTCCTGCAGCGCTCGCATGGCAGCCCAGTCGAGCTGGCACCCCTGGCTGGGTCGACAGCTGCGAACTCTGGTTCGCCCAGCGCTTTCGGCCGTAGACGGCTCTCTTTTGGTGGCCTTGTTTCCGTTTTCGTTCTCGCCTCTGTTCATGCACTCTGCGCTGCTCATCCTCCCCCATTGTTGTCTGCACGATAACCTTGGCAGTGGCACAACACCCGTGTTGGTAACGGTGCGGGTGTGGATGGATCTTTGCGTGGCGAGGAGGGCAGCAAGCCCCGCATGGAACCGAACTGATCGCGCCCCTGCTTTCGACTTCACATGGTGAGACTTGAGGCTCTAGCTGGCCCCCATGCTGGTCTGAAGTTTTTTTTGTTCTCTGACTCATTCCCTAGACATTATGAACCGGGAACAGAGATCCCAAGGAGTGTTTCGATATCCATTGTCCTGAGTTCGTCGTGTGTTTTTTCCACCCAAAGAGAAATGTCGCCTTTCAAAACACGTGCTCGGAATTCCCTGCCGATAGTTTTCATTTGTTCGGCTTCACTGCTGCTTAGATATTGTCACAGGCACACCTGTGACTTACGCACGTACCTAGTCGGGTGACTAGGCACGTGCTCCACTGCACCAGACGCCATGATATAGCTCCCGCACCCAGGCCACGATAGATGTTGCACTCCTTGTGCAACCACGAATATCAGACCATGCTACCTAGTTCCCGCGCCGCCCCGTGATAGATATCCCAGGAGTTCTGTCAATTCTGTCTTGCTCAGTCGCTGGAAAACTCGGACGGATGGCAGCAATGGTATAAAATCCATTCCGAGCCAGATGAGGTTGCCTTTCTGCGCTTTCCAGGTCCTAAACGAGAGGGGCGATATGTTGAATTGTGCTGCGAATTTGTCGGCGTGGTTTCCCGGAAAACTTTTTAGTTTGCCGTCGTCGTTAAATATTGTTTTGCCGGGAAAAAGTTTGTCGTACATGACCATAACGGCCTTGGTGGCAAAAATCGAAGCCACCATTCCGCTGAACGCTTCATACTTCTCCCATTGCTGAGAAAGCGAATAGTAATGGTCCAGTTGTTTCGCCCAATCATCGGGCAAAACGGAATCTGAGCCCAGGACGAGGCTCTTCCTCTCGGTAGCGATATTGACCAATGTAATAATATGGCCCCTGAGTCGCATTCTCGCATGTGGACCAATTATTTCGTTTGCTAGCTCCCTGAGATCTGGAGTATCCTTCCGCAGCTTCGCTGGTCGCCTGTCTTGCGGTGGCTCTTCTGGTTGGCACGACGAGTTTTCTTGAGTGCGTCGTGCCGACGACCCGCCTGTGGAGCGTTTCCTTTTGGACTGGTGGGTGTTGTTATGGCCCTGTCTTGCTGATTCTGGCTTGCCTGCAGCGCGCCTCCCCTTGTCTTTTGGGGAGACCCTGGCAGGAGCAGAAGCGCTCAATGTGGCTGTTTGCTTAGACAATCCAGAGTCGACGTGCTCCGTCTCCTCGCAATCATCATTGGGCGAGGAGGGGGGAGAGGGTGGGGGTGAAGGCTCTACTCTCTTTAATACGTCGCGCCCTTCATTATCGCCCAACGCATATAGCCCGCATTCCTGACAAACGCGCCATGTAGATCCCGGGAATATCGGCTCGCTGGGTAGCTGAAAGTTGATAGCAACAGCTAGCGAGGACGTCATGTTGACGACTTCGTGGTACTGTCCGCGTGCGGTGACCACCGCATCGCCAGGACCAGCGACGACGAGATCGAAGTTGATGCCTGCCCTACGCAGCTCCTTCGGGCTAATGAACAGGCTGTGGTGGCGCACCCACTGATCATCGCAGATGCCGTCGCCCCAGCGTTTTCTGATGTATTTCTCGAATGTCGCCGTGTCTTTCTGGGATAGAAGGATCCAGATCTTCCACCCAAAACCGTTGACATTGATCGAAAACCATCTGGCATCTTCGCAATGCATTGGGGTGCTGGAGCCCGACTCCCCGGGATTCAAATAATTGGTGTTCACACCTGGTATTGTCGGCAACTCGCGGAGTTTACCAGGGTTGAGCAATTTGTTCAATTGCGACAGCGGACCGTTATCGTGGTCAGGGGAAGGCCCGACATAATATTGGCGAAGATGCCCGCGCATCCTCGTGTGCCTTCTGCGTCCACGTCCTGCAGACCAAGCAGCTTGCGTCTCGTCGACAAATTAATTGGCGAACGCCTCGGCATCCTCTGACGAAGGACGCTCCCGGTTCCCGTCGGAAAGATCAAACCACTCAAACTCCTTATTATCCACATAAACCCGGCAGGCGCCATCGTCGCCAGGACTGAACTCGTTTCGTGTTGCCAGGAGGTCGTGATCCTTTTCGAGCTCGCATTTTCTCACTTCGTCGGTATTGAGACGCTCAATATCACTAACGTGGAGCAGACCGCTGAAGTAACCTTCGCAATCTTTGGAAAACTCCTCAATGGTGCTGACTAGGTTCTGCCCCAGTTTTTCAGCGTGTATAGTCGGCGGGCGGTGGTTAGGGAGCGGGCGGCGTTGCTTTCCGACGGCGGACGGATAGGCTGGCTTTGTTGGAAGTGCGTTAGGTTGTACCGCACTCGTCGTT